GAGGAGTTGATCTGCTCGATATGTACAGTCTGTGTGGAAAGTATTCGTACAGCGACCAATTTTAAATAAAATGTTGTGCGTAAACGTCAGTTACAAATTTTAAGGGGAAAAAATGATGAATAAATATTCTTGGGTGTTTGTAGAAAAGATTTCGTGAAAACTAAATTTTATTTTCTTCAGGATTAACAAAAATATACAATAAGAATATTTTCGCGAATTCTAATCTTGTCTTACGGTTAGTTTCATTTACAAAATACTTTCTTCGTGCTATTCGACCATGATATTCACTACTTCTCAAATAGTCACGCACAGTACTAGCTGACACATCTATGCCAGTGTTGTTTTTAAGTTCCGTTGCAATTTGTACAGCAGTTATACGTGGGTTTTGTTTCACTTTACGAATAATTAGTCGTCGATCATACTCGTTTATCTTACGCGGACGCCCATTTCTCCTTTTATTTGATACAGTTTTTCGTTCTCCGAATCTATCAATTATGCTTTGAATGGTAGATCTTGCTCTATTCACTATGGAAGAAATTTCACTAAGTGATTTACATTTATTGTGTAATCGAATAATAATTTTTCGCTCTTCTTCCGTCGTTTCGCGACTTTTACGACCCATATTGGAGTATATTATAAACCAACTTATTTCTATTAGTGCTCTGTACAAACTAATAACTTTTGTTTTTATTCGCCACATTCCGAAGATCGTGTTATGTTTTACATTATTAGTTTATTTTTCATTATTCATAACTGTACGAATACTTTCTGTGCGACGATTTCTTACATTCAATTGTTCTTATTGTATATTTTTGTTAATCCTGAAGAAAATAAAATTTAGTTTTCACGAAATCTTTTCTACAAACACCCAAGAATATTTATTCATCATTTTTTCCCCTTAAAATTTGTAACTGACGTTTACGCACAACATTTTATTTAAAATTGGTCGCTGTACGAATACTTTCCACACCGACTGTATATAAGTTTATATCGCATATATATTAGATCTCGAAAATGGACCCTTCGAGTAATTATGCATTTTGTGGATTTTGCTCTATCTAATAGTTGTATAGAGTATAAACGAGATTGCATCGAAGCTAAAATTCATAAAAAACATATTATGGATTTGTTGGAATTTCGTATGCACGTTTCCAAAAGTTTAATTTATAAGAACAAGCTTGTAAATGTAAAGAAACGTGGTCGTCCTTCAAAAAGTGAAGTAGAAATTACACCGGACAGAAAAAGAAAATGTCGTTGCTGTGAGAAAAGACCAATAAGAGAAATTCAACACGATAATGTGGACCATATGCCCCAAATCGATGATAAAAAAGAAGCAACACGATGCAAGATGCCATTATGCAAAGGAAGGACACATTTTTATTGTGACAAATGTCGTGTCCATTTGTGTTTAGTAAAAGAGAGGAATTGCTTTGAAAGATTTCACAGAAAATAATAATTATATATACAGGGTGTTCGGCTACTGGTGGGCATAATTTTAGGGGGTCTGCTTATTCAAAAGCAATTATTTATAATATAATAACAAATTATTTATAATATAGTAAGAGAATTTTTTTTTATACAAATATCACTCAAGATCTCCTATGCTACAAATTTTGAATAAGGACCATATGTCCATTAAAATGTACATTTAAAAATTATATATAAATGAGTAAATATTTTTGTAAAAAGTATATTGTTGCTTTCATTCACATGAATTAAGTTAATTTTAGTATAAAAATAATTTTTTCCTAAACGACAAAAAATTCAGGTCTGAAGAGGTTAATTTAGAAGGTTTTCAAGAATCCTCATATAGGGTCTGAAGGGGTTAATGTATTTTTAGTTTTTTAGATTTTTAGTTTTCATAAGTTAGGCACGTGCCGATTTTCGGCCATATTTCTCCACAGTCTTTCTCACTTCCGTTGTGACCATCAGACAAGTAAGATGTGCGGTAGTAGCATAGAGAGTTTTCTTTTTATATCTTTTTATTAGTTTGTATTTATCGTCTTTTTGTATTATCCTTTTATATTACATACTTTTTAAATATGGTTGTGTTTTTGATTCCACGGAAATTAACCCTGGACATGAAATAATTCGAATGATAGACAAAAAATTGTTTCCGTGCTATAGTATTATACAGAACTCAAAAACAGATTGCTATCCCAGGAAAGAATCATACACAATTACGGAAACCAGCGTGGAAATTAATTTACAAAATCTATTGGACCATACAGTTGCCCGGTTACTATTATATTTAGATGAAATTATAAACAATTTGAATCAAGATGAAAATTCTTTAAATTTAATAAGCAAATGGGGATGCGATGGATCACAAGTACAATACAAACAAACGTTCGTGGAAAATAGTGATTCAGACGCCAATATATTTCAAGTATCATTTGTGCCCTTACAATTAATTTCAAAAAATAAAAAGATAATTTGGCAAAATCCAATGCCATCATCTCCGCGATTCTGCAGGCCGATTAAAATCTGATTTATTAAGGAAACGGATGATATAACTAATGAAGAAATAAATTATATGCAAAAAAAAAATTGACAATTTGAAAAGTACACAAATTTTATTAAATAAAACTATATCCGTTTCACACACGTTACTATTCACAACGGTTGATGGTAAGGTGTGTAACGCTGCCACAAATATAAAATCAATTATGAAGTGTTTTATATGCGGTGCTATGACTGAAAACTTCAACAATTTAGAAGAAACTAGAGAAGTAAACCCCGAAACATTAAAATTTGGATTATCGACATTACATGCTCGAATCAGATTGTTTGAAAACCCTCTTCACATATCATATAAACTGTGTTCGGGATATTCAAAATTCTTTTGTCTACGTCGTAACGTCTCGAAGGTTCTAGACTCCCAACTGTATATAAACAGGTCAACATCAATCAGTTTTGTCAGTATAAATCGATGCGTCATAGAGAGCGAGCAAGTAAATATTGTGTGTTAGAATTTCTGTTAAAACCGTTATATGTATATTTCAAAAAACGTATATTACTCTGCAAATCCCATCAAACTGCCAGTAAAGAAGTGGCAAATTCAAGACACAACTGGAAAAGAAATTATAGAAAAAAGGAAAAGGAACATACAACAGCAATTTAAAGATAAAATAGGCATCATTGTAGACGTTCCAAAACCTGGATTTGAAAATTCTAACGATGAAAATACAAGTCGCAGATTTTTCGCAAATCATTTATTATCCGTAACTATAACAGAAATTAACATCAAATTAATATATAGATTAAAGGTCATATTAGAAGCTACTACAAGCGGATATAAAATTAATACTGAAAAATTTGCAACATATGCCTCCAACACTGCCAAATTGTATGTTAGTCTATATTCATGGCACCCGATGACACCCTTCGGCTCACTGAGGCCAAGAAGCGGCTAAATGAGGCCAAGAAGAAAGAGCTGGAGCTTGACAGGAAACTGAGGACATATGACCCGACTTACTCTATCCCAGCGCCCAGCAAAAGCAGCAAGTCGCTGCCAGACGTGGAGGAGCTGATGAGAGCGGCACGCAGGCTATCATCGCTGGACTTGGTGGCGGAGATGCTCAGGAACGCCGAGCATATAAAAAGGCTAGCGACATGTTCCTCCAACCTAAAAGGCACTTCCGTCAGGGGCTTTCGGGAGACCTCAATCGTGATTCGGGCGTACGCAGCGGAATTGGACAAGAGGCCAGCGGCGATGCCAATCGAGGAGGACGGGTCTGACGAAATTCAGACCCTCCGCAGACGCCTAAGAGAGGCGGATGAACGCCGACCTGGAGGCTCTCCGGCAATAGGTGGAGAGGTTCAGCAGAAATTGGGTGGACATCCCGGGCACGCCTTCTCCAGGTCCGGCAGGGGGAGCCCGGTGTGATTAGTGAGAAGACAGGCACTGTCCTCCTCGTCGTCTGAAAGAGAAGACGTCAAAAGGAGACCAACGGAGAATAAGAGTGCTGGAGACCCCAATGCCGCAAGCATCACGGGCACCATCACCGGTCAGGGTGTACGAACAGCCGACCGTGGAGATGAAGGCGGAAATTCCGCAACAAGCCATAGTGGTCCCAAATCGTAAAAACCTGACCAAAACCTCGAAAATGAATTTTTCGTTGGGGCTATTTTAACAACTGAGTTGTATACTCTAATACTGTATCTATGGGAAAACAGAGGAGTAAAAGTTTTATTACTTATACCTGCAAAATGGTGAGTGTTCACTTACCGCGTTCACTCGTCACGCAGTTTTTGTGCAGTGAAGTTCAGTATGCAAGAGCAAAGTGTAAAGTGAATAATTTTAAACAGACTATATTAATTTCAATTCTGCAAAATGGATGCTGTTCCTGGAAGTAAGTAGAATGTTTTTCAGCACTATTATATTGAAAATTGTTAGTGGTAACGGTGTATGATAGGGATATTCAATATAAATAATAAAAGGTGAAACTTCATGCGCGAATGTTAAAAATGTGGACTAATAGTTGTATATTCCACAATATCCCGCTAAAATTTTTGTTCAGGCTTGTAGTTGATACTATTAGCTTGCAATATTTGCAAAAATTAGCTGCCACTAAGTGCCATCAGGATCGTATGACCATTTTTTATAATGTGACGTAGGCGCGATGTAATGAATTTTCTTTAAACTGATGAAAGTACTGATGATGATTCTGACAGTTCGAATAATTCAATGTAATATTTTATTTGATGTTTACATTCTTTATTTATTACTGTATATAATTAATTTAATAAATGTAATATAATTTGTGACTTAAGTATTCTCATTTACAAATGCCTCATAATTCCATCACGAGTTACTATTTGGATCGACTATTTAAAAACAATAATTTTATCATTTTAGTTCTTTAGAATTCTATAATTTTAGTTTTTATTTAGAATATTTGGAGCTTTAATACCGATTTAGCGATTCGAAAACATCATTATCCTCATTCTCGATAGCTTTAATACCGATTTAGCGATTAGAAAACATCATTATCCTCATTCTCGAAAAGCACAAACAATTTTTCGGTATACACAACACTCATATCGAATTCGCCATTTTGTTTTTTTTAAACATTGACTTCTGCTTTGTAATCAATAACATTAAATACTCCTATACATCAAACTTCAGTCAATTTTAACGCCTTTTTCGTACATATACTTACTACGTCAGATCCGCCATTTTGTTTTTTGTAATTTTGACTTTTGATTTGTAATCACCGACCTCGAAAACCCCTAAGTACGAATTTGCACTTAAATTGGAAAATGCCATCATATTTTGGCCAGGTTTTAGCAATTTGGGACCACTGTGCAAGCGGAGGAAGTATTAGTGCAGGTGGCCCAGCCGGCGCCGATGAAGAGGCAGGAGGCTCCAAAAGATCAGACGGGCCAGGACATCGGGCTGCAAATAGTAGTGGCCAGCTTTATAAACACGGTGGAGGAGTTAACCGCCGAGGTACGGAGCATTAGAAGCGAGAAGGCTCCGATGGCGCCGCCGCAGAAGAGTGGGCCACAGTCGGAACAGACTTTGGAACCCGTTCAGAGGCCTGTTTCGAAGCCCACATCCAGAGCGGCCTCCAGGCAACGGAAGGAGAGCGCAAGACCGACACCGGGGGCGGGCCCGTCAAAACCAGCCCAACCAGCCGTGAAACTGACCCCAAAATCGATGGAGGAGACTTGGTCGATCGTCGTGGGACGCAAGACCATGAGGGACGCTAAGAAGGCCGAGCAGGCTAACGCCAAGGCGGGTGCTGATCGCCAACCGGCGCAGGCGACTTTAGTTCTTCCGCAAGTGCACACTTGTGGCGCGGCCCTTCTACGGGAGTATCGCGGCGTAGAATTCGTCCGTAGCGAAAGGGTTAACAGTGATCGTTACCGACAACAAACGATCAATTTGCACCATGCATTGATCGAAAAACGTCCAGAATGGGCTCGAAAACACGGTAAAGTGACTTTACAGCACGATAACGCGCCGTCTCATGAAGCAAAACCGGTCAAGGAAGCGATGAAAGCACTTAAATGGAACATATTATCACACCCGCCGTACTCTCCAAACCTTGCCCCGTCCAACTATCAACTATTCGCATCAATGGGACACGCACTTGCAGAGGAGCATTTTGCCAATTTCGAAGAAGTTAGAGAATGGTTCAATGAATGGTTTTGCTCAAAGGACAAACAGTTTTTTTGGGATGGCATTCATAAATTGCCTGAAAGATGAGCAAAATGTATAGAATCAAATGGTCAATACTTTGAATAAATAAATCTTAACATTTTCTTGAAAATTACGTAGATTTTTTCCAAAAAAAGTGGTAATGACTTTGCGGTACACCTGGCACAAAACTTTTCTTCTAACGAATTAACATATGTTCTGCTTGATATGTAAGTGGCAAACGCAATATCAGTAAAAATAAAGAAAACAGCATATGAGTATGTGAATATCAGGGGAAAACGTACAGCAGAACCGATTAAATACACTTTGGAGGAAGCGTTATCTCTATTCGTCGATGGTGATTATACTAAAGAGACTTACAGCTCCATGAGAATAAGTGCAAAAAGACGAAATGCTGACATCTGTCCTCCATATGATCATGTTCGAGAAGCAAAAACAGAATGTTATCCAACCTTAATTAAAATGAGCGATATTTCTGCCGAAGTTAATGTACAAAATCTTGCAAACCATGCAACAGAGAGATTATTTAAATATTTACAAGATTCTGTAGGTAATTAAAACGTACCGTATTGTGTAAATTTCTTATTCAAATAGGGCTGTGATGAAAGTTCCGACCACTCCAGATACGTGGGGCAACCAAATATGAACGAGCCTTTGTTCTGTGTGTATTGGAAAATATTTTTATGTGTTATTAAATAGTTGAAGCCGTTTGGTAGGCATTCTTAAAGTAAGAAAACAAGAGCAATCGACTGATCCCGTAGTTCGTTCAATACTTCTAACGATGAGTGACAAAGCTATGCCCATCTCCATTGAGCAACGTGTAATAATAAAGTTTTTATCTCGTAAAAATGTAAAACCGGCCGATATTTACCGCGGACTCCATACTCAGTTTGGGGTAGATATCCTTTCATGGCCGCGTGTGAAGGTATGGTGCAATAAGTTCAAACAAGGTCGTGAATGCGTTGTAAATGAAACGCATGCACGTCGTCCTTGAAGCAGTACGACTAGTGAAAACATTACACGCATTCGTGTGCTAATCGGAAGTGATCGACGCCTCATAGTGCTCGAAATTTCGGGAGAGCTTGATATTAGTTACGGCAGTGTTCAATCTATAATTAAGAAGCTGTTAAGGTTTAGAAAAATCTCAGCTCGTTGGGTTCCAAAGCTGTTAAATGAGGATCAAAAGGCTACACGAGTTCGCATATCAGAATTGCTCGTAATACGTTTCGAAGAAGAAGGGGAAACATTTTTGCATAAAATCGTCACCTGTAACGAGACATGGGTGCATCACTACACTCCCGAATCAAAATGTGCAACCATGGAATGGAGAAGGACAGGCGAAGGAAATCCTGTGAAAGCCAAAACTCGACTGGCGGCGGGGAAAGTGTTGGCCACGGTTTTTTGGGATTGGAGAGGAGTTTTACTGGTGGATTTTTTACACGATCGTCGAACCATCAATACAGCTTACTATTGCAACCTCTTAGATCAAGTTAGGCTTCAGTATCGACGCAAAAGGCGACGCAGAAGAAGCTGATGGAAATGAAATGGACAACGCTCGATCACTCACCTTACAGCCCAGACCTATCACCATGTGATTCTTATCTGTTCGGACCCTTACAGCGGCGAATATTACAGGTACTTCATTATCGTATATAATAAAGAGTGAGTAGTAAGTAGCAAAGTAATTAAATAATACAATAACAAATAATATTACAGGTGTAAACGAAGAGTTAATTAAAAGAATTGGTGACATTTTGGTGGCTTTATCCAGTTATAGGCAAATTAATTTCAATTTTATTTCAAGAATATACAATGGAAACATTTAACTTGTGTGTAGCAGAGTACGACTGGTTTTATATACCATCAAGTTTGCACAAAATATTATTCCATGGTGCAGACATAATAAGGAGTGCTGGTTTGACCATTGGAATGTTTTCTGAAGAAGCAATGGAGGCACGAAACAAAGATTTCAGAAATACTGGAAGAGATCACACCAGAAAATTTTCGCAATTAGAAACCATGACAGACCTTTGGCCTTCCAGCCCAAATCATTACTCCACCCCCACCCATTTATCTTCGAGGAAATGGAAACGAATTTTTTTTTACTGACATTTTCATTTTACTACCATGATTTAAAAAAAGAAAGATTAGTAAAAAAACAAAGACAAATGGGTGGGGGTGGAGTAATGATTTCGGCTGGAATTTAAACGGAATGGATACAAAGGCAAAACAAATGTACAGTTTCTTCAAGGAAAAATGAATTATCAAAAATATATAAATTGACTCTCAAAACAAAGTATTGAACACGCACTACGAATTACCACTGATAAATTTATTTTTTAACATGGCAATGCTGCAATTCTCCGAATTAAAGTCGAAGAACAATTTTTTCAGCTTAAAAACGTATCGGTTTTACCGTTGCCCGCACGCTCCTTGGACCTGAATATTATTGAAAATTATTGGGGAGAACTAGCACGTGCTGTATATAAGAATGGAAAACAGTATGATAATATTAAACGATTAAAAGAAGCTATTAAGATAGTTTGGGATAATTTGCTACAAAATACAATTAAAATGTTATACAAATCCTTAGCAAAGCGGGTACTCGAAGTAATTGAAAATAAAAGCGGATTATTATTATAATCATATCATTATTAACTTTGTATTAATTGCAATGTAACTTTCTTTTTTATGAAAATATATGTATAAATTCTGTGAATGTGCTAACATTTCGCCGGCACTATTTGTATATTTCGTCTGCTTGCTCAAAAACCTAGCAAGGTCAACCATATTTACTAAGAAGTTCCTTCTCTCTGCCATGTAACAATTAGAATGGCATGTATTACATTAAAAAATTCTAAGTAGTTTTCAAGAAATTAAAGATAGCACACATGTGCTATCATTTTGTCCGGGAGTGTACCAGAGAAAACGACACCACGGTGGTGTTGTTATGCGGGACGAATGAGAGCCGTGTCATTGATCTGAGAGTGTTGATTGTTGACATGTCCATGACATTCTAACGACTAAAACAGTGGAGCAGCGCCCGACCAAGATCCAAAAATGACTCTTCCTCAGAAAAACATGTGAAAATCGCGTAGAATCATAAAAATAGCGCCTGGAAATGTAGGAGCATCAGTCTTTTGGAATTTCTTTGCCTAAACGTACATATCGTTGGTAAGTAAAATAACTTTTTTTGTATTTAATTCGTATACCATTGACTTTGCGCTTAAATTCACTCACATCATTAGGCACAGCGAAGCAAATGAGCGAACTGCAGGTCGTGGAGCCTCTCACGCTGGTGGAGCAAGGCCTCAGTTTTCGTGCGGTGGGGCGCCGGTTCGGCGTCGCCCACACTACTATCCAAAACATCGTACACCGGCACCAGAAAGACGGTCTGCTGGGCCGTCGGCCAGGGCAAGGGCGTCCTCGGTGCACCACGACGAGGGACGACCGCCGTATGGTGCGCATGCCTGCCGCCGATTCCCGCCTCACGGCGCGGCAGATCGCTGGATACTATGAGAAGATAACTCAGTACCAAATCTCCAGGCGGACTGTTAACCGACGTCTCAACGCGGCAGGGCTGAGAGGCAGAGTACCCAAGAAGGCTCTGAGGTTGTCCGCGGAAATCCGGAGGTCTCGCCGAGCCTATGTTCAACAGTACGGCAACTGGGGCATCCAGCAGTGGCGGCACGTAATGTTTTCCGACGAGGTGCGGTTCGCACTACACAAGACCGATGGAAGATTGAAGGTGTAGCATCGTCGGGGCGAGCGGAATCAGCATTTCGTGGACCGCGTCTCCTATAACGGCGGGCCTGTCATGTTCTGGGGAGGCAATATGCTGAATAAAAAAACACCTCTCGTCGAAATTCCGCCACCTGGCATGACGGCCCGCCGCTACATCAACGAAGTGGTGGTGCCGCACGTTGTACCGCTCCGAGAAGAATGCGGCCCCGTCTTAATCCAGCAGGATAACGCGGCGCCATACACCGGCAGAATCACGCGTGCTGCCCTGCTTGAAAATAACGTCAATCTCCTCCACCATCCTCCCCGCAGCCCCGACTGCAACGCAATTGAACACCTCTGGGACTAGGTTGACTGCCGGGTGAGGGCTGGGCCGCAGCCGCGCAACCTTGTCGAGCTCCGGGCCGCTATTCAGGCAGCATGGGAGGCCATCTCCTTCGAGACTATCAACAAATTAGTCAGAAGCAGTTTTTTTTTTATTTAAGTATCAATTTTGTCTCCCATTTTTGATTTCATTTTTGTCCTGTATTGAAGATTGCATATTGCATATCATTTAATACTATAATTATATTAATTTGTAAATTAAGGTTCTGCTGTGCATTTGGTGAGACTGGAAAGGAATCATTTATTATGAGTTCCTTCCGTATGGTTAAACACTAAATTGGGATCTTCAGCGTCAACAACAGAGTCGTTTGAAGCTAGTGATTTACCAGAAACGGCTAGAATTGGCCAACAGAAGAGGTGTCGTATTCCATCAGGACAATGCCAGGCCACACACGTCTATAGTGACTCGCCAGAAACTCCGAGAGCTTGGTTGGGAAGCTTTGATGCTTCCACCACATAGTCCAGACCTGGTACCAAGCGATTACCGTCTTTTTCTTGCATTGCAAAACTTTCTCAGCGGTAAGAAATTGGCATCAAGAAAAGATTGTGAAAATCAATTACTAGAGTTTGTTGCCAAGGAACCAAGATTTCTATGCGAGAGGCATTATGAAGCCACTCTTAAAATGACAACAAATATTAAACAAATATTATTACATATTAAGTAAAGTCTTGAAGTTCACGTAAAAGTAATGGATTTCTTTTTACTCAATCTAATATAAGGACGGTACCTTTTCAGTAGGTATTCAAGATAAACAACTTATAATGTTAATTTTTTTCGGGTAGAGGAAGTTGTTTAAAACACGAATGCCTCTTTTTCATCCGCTCTATACTGTACACATACGTTACAATGACACACTATACCACTATTGATAGTTTTTGTTAAAGTTATCTCGTACTATCAAACTGAAAACAGATGTTAATTTACAGGGAATCGTTACCATTTTTGTTTTATGCGAATCTCGTACTTCATCAATACACAAAGCAATATAGAAAAAAATAGTGTCTCTTGTTCCGCGATTGCAAGATAGCTTAGAAATTGTCATGTGCGATTACGAGAAAGCTGTTATGGAAGAGGTGCAAGCACAATTTCTTGCTGTTACCACATAGCTGTTGCTTTCATTTTAATCACGTACGGTATAAGTGTTAACGTTACCCATGTATTTTTTTTCCTCATTAAAGTGTTCAGTGGAGAGTTGAATGGTCCTTTTCTTATTGTCTGGACTCTATTAAGGAAATGGAGGAAGTTAAGATTACAAGGTGCACAAAAAGTAATTCTCTCAGTGGCTATGACAATGCCTTTAGTTCCACGGGATATGTTTCTAGAAGCGTTACATCAAATGCAGTTAGTTGCAGATCATTTATGTGGCACTTCCCCGAATGTGCTCCTATTTATGACATATCTACGCAATGTGTGGCTACCTATTTCTTCGAAGATCAACGTATTAGGATGTCCTAAAAGTTTCTTTCTCTTCGCGATATAAGTGGTCTCATCTAACTCAGCTTGTGTAAACATGCACACTTATCTATTAGACTTCTGTACCGTCGGTTTCAGTCATCCCAGAGCTCTTTTACAGAAGGTTTTATTTGTGCCACAGTTTCCTTTAAAACATTCAACTACATTGCTAAACATGAGTAGCGAAAGGCGACATTTACGGCATTTCTTTTTTCCCAACCTAATATTCAGCGTATTATTTAGCGTGTGGTGATTTTATTGTTATTATCTTTAGTACCATTTTATAATTTAGTAGTAATTCTACTTTAGTAAAATTAATATAATAGTTTAATGTAAATAGCAATGTCCCGTGCTTGTGTTAATTACCCAAATAAAGTGTGTTAATCACCCAAATAAATTTTGTTATGTATGTGGTGAAGTGGTGTTTAAAAATTCTGCAAGAAACATTACAGAATCTATAAAGCATGCCTATCAACAGTATTTTAAATGTCAACTTGGCGATGAAGATAAAGATTGAGCACCTCATGTCATTTGCAGCAGGTCCAGTGTGGGATTATGTCGTTATGTGAGAAATGCAAAAAAAATATGCCATTCGACATAGGAATGGTTTGGAAGGATCCGACAAATCACATAAGTGATTGTTATTTTTGTGTTTTCTATTTTCTAAGATTCTTTTTCCTGTTTTCTATCTTCTTTAGCTTTACATTCTCTAATTGTTTTCGCTTTCTATAGGGTCTCGCCGTGGCCTGGTCAGTGTCAACGCTCAGGCCCTTGCGAACCTCTTCACTTTCTATTTTATGATTCTCTTCCGCTGTAGCTCTTCTTTTCCGAGCTCAATCAGCGGTTTTTCTGGATTTTCCCACTTTCTATATTTTCTCTCTTTCTAACTGTTTCTTTCTTTTTTTACTAATGAGTTTTCGAGGAAGAGGTTTTGACCAGCAACGTGATCAGTCAGTGAGAGTCGTTTGAATAGCTAACATCATTTTTCGTACCCGTACACGTATAATAAATTTGTCAACTTACACTTTTTTATGAGCTGAATTTTGTAAGGTGATAACCGATATGTTTGAAAGTGAGGAACTCGATGAAAAACAAATTATATTTACGGATGAAGCTCACTTTTGGTTAAACGGATATGTAACGTCCCCGGGAACATCCAATGTTACGTTCCGGCTCCTCCCGACTACACATATATTTTTTCGAGCCATTACTACACAAAACCAAACGTTATTAGCAGGTATTACATAATTACAAGGTTATAATCATCGATCAATACATTTTTCCCTTACAGTCGGTAACATCCCGACCATTGATCTTTCCTTTGGATACAGGGCCGCCCCGATGCCACCCAGTGTCTGGTCTTAATACTGGCTAGCTCCAAGAGCACCCCGACCGTCAGGTTTGTCAACACTGGTGAGCTACCGAGGCTCCCGAACGACAACCGGCATCTGGCGAGTGCTTCCCAGGCTACCGATTCGAGGCAACACTTAGAAGCTCGTGCGTAATACGGTGCAGTCGATTCGAACATAGAGCAAGTCAAGGTGAACAACCGATCTTAACGCAGTTGTTACAAATAATTCCGAATTTTACTGAATTTTACTTAAAGTTTATTTTCACATAGTCTTCCAAATACCCCAACCGTACTCGCACTAAACGGTTGAATAAGAATCAGCGTTGAGGAGGAATTAGAGAAAGACTCCGTTGCGAAAGACGGAGAAGACGCGAGGAAACCTTGCGTTTACAGTCTCAGCCGCCCGTCGAACAGGAACTTCCCTGTTCTCCAGATTCTGAAGCCACGACCATTCTAAATTCGGACCGCGATCCCGAAATAATTGTCATTTCAAGTGATGAGGAGGAAGAAACGATTCCCTCTGCTCCTCCCCTCGAAGTTCTGGATACTGCTACAGCTATTAAAGTCAGTCAACAAGACGGAATACCTGTTCACATTGTGACGTGGTATTTTATACCCGTCACAAGGAGCCTCCTCGGGAGACCGGACGGGTCATAGGTCGCCGTCAGATACCGTCTAGAGAGAGAACGAAGCGCGTATAATATCGTAAGAACAAATTCTGCCGCTATGCTATTTTATATGTACCGCCGGAGAATGACGTCACTGTCAACGAAGGAGCGACGTACGTCGAGGGAAAACGCCGCTGCTCTGCCGCTACCCCGCTCGGATCCTCCGATAGACGAAGAGAGGCAGCGGAGTAAGAGGAGAGAACCCAGCGAGAAACCGACGTACGCCGAAGGAAAGTGCCGATTCCCTGCCGCTTCCCCGCTCCGGCCCTACGATAGAAGAAGAGAGGCTGCGGAGACGGAAGAAGCCCTGCCGAAGAAGACTTCGATAGAATTCGGAAACTCCGGCAGAGGGTGGGGGTAGGCTACGAGGTGTCCTAATACCGGCGCAAGGGCTCGTTCGAATCTTCCGCGTTTTTCCAAGATTGACATAAACGGTTTTCCCATCTTTCCGCTCTAGAGTCTCGTTGCGCGTCTAAGTTCTTTATCGCGACGCTGAGAAGCGTCTGGCGCCCAATTATCAAATAAAATAAAGCGATATCGAACGGGTTCGGATCGGGCGCCGAAGTGCTACGCGCTCGCGAATCCGCGGAGGCGCCGCGGCGGTCATCGTCGCGGGCACGGTCAGGAAGGGCCGATCGAGAATTCGCGGGCGAAGCGGGGTCGCGGGCCGTTACCGAGCTAGCCGCGAAATACCGTGTAGCAACATATTGAAATCGTTTTAAACAATTACGAAGAGATTAGACAGGGTTCAGCACCACTCGATTTGTATCAATGGTGTGAAAGCATGTACCTAATTCACAACCCTTACCAACGCCGACCCCCCAGGTTACCAACAACTGAAATTAATTAGTGGGATATTTCGCTAGTCCCCGCACGGTACGTAACAATAGCGATATAGCAACGCAACTTACGCGGAAGTGTACAACTAGAATAATATATGACAGCGAATCCAGCAACAATAACGACCAAACAGATAGTCAGTGGACAAAATATGATCCAAAAAGAAACTTAGAAATGTTTGCCGGTAATTCAGGTATCAAGATACATCCAAATAACCCTCAAAGCATAAGTAAAATTGTCGAGCTAGTTATTGCAGATGATTTTATAAAAATGGTCACAATTGAAACTAACAGATATTATGATCAGATGCACTGCAGATATAAAGGTGTAAGGAAAACAAAAAAAGGTTATGAGGTGTCCTAATACCGGCACATGAGCTCGCGCTTCTTTATTCTGTATCTGGCAATTGCCAAGTGATCACTTAGAAAAGCTATTATACCGATTCTGCTACATTTTTCCACATAATATCGCTCTGTGGACACAGAGCGGACACCTCGGTAAGTCCTCACACCTACATATAACTGTAAAGTTATATAATTCGGGATTTCTGTACCGTGGGTTGTCGACCATCTGGTGTGCCATTCACGGGCAGGTTCTGCAAAATTGTAACCAGAGTGTCGGCATTGAATCGTTAGGGAATAATTAGGATACGTTAGAAAGGTAAACCCGGTGGCCCCTGTCCGGGGCGGTCCAGGATCCCGACGTCCGGACGTATCGTGAATTAGAAAGATCGCTTCTCGATATTTCTAAACGCCGAACTCGTGGCGGTTACTGAAACTGACCCGATATAGTTGGTTTTACCACCGTACTACCGTAGAATCTCGTTCCGCGTTAAAGTTCGGTATCGTGACGCTGGGAAGCGTCTGGCGCCCAAGTACAAAGGAAATTAAAAGCGATATCGAACGGGTTCGAATCGGGTGCCGAAGTGCTACTCGTCCGCGAATCCGCGGAGGCGCCGCGACGGTCGTAGTCGCGGGCTTGGAAAGAGCCGTTCGAGTATTCGTGGGCGAGGCGGGGTTGCGAGCAACGCCGAGCTAGCCGTGCCGCGAAATACCGCGTAGCAAAGTATGTATATAAATTTTAGTATTCTCACATTCTTCACAAAATATTATAAAAAATGTTATTTACAGTTTTTATATTGAAAAGAAGATTGTACATGCTACTAGCAGCAATAAAAGAAGAAATAGATTTTCCATGGGAATTACACAGTCTACATAAATTGCTGAAGAACATGGGCTACAAGTGGAGGAAAAGTAGTAATTTTCGTAAGATACTAATAGAAAGGCCAAATATTGTCACGTGAAGGGGAAAATATTTAAAGGGGATCGACTATTATAGAAGACAAAACAAAAATATTGTATATGTCGACGAAACATGGGTCGACAATTCCCTATGCTTTGGAAAGTGCTGGCAATATGAAAATATGTGAGGTGTTTTAAAAAATACCAGCACTTCCCATCAATATATAATTATTCGCGCTGGAGGAGAAAATGGATTCGCGAATGGACCCGAATTAATTTTTAAAGCTAACAGTACAACAGAAGATTATCATGGACAGATGAATTCAGAAAATTTTGAAAAATGGCTAACACAAAAATTAATACCTAATTTAATAAGTACAGTCTGTAACATAAGAGCGTGGACGCAATGTTTCTGGAAAAAAACCTTTTTTTACGAAAAACTGTATGTAAACCAAAAGTATATGTAAGAAGGTAATACGCTCTTACTTAGTAGTGGGTCCAGTCTCCCCCATTTGCTATTATAGCTTCGCAACGTCTCGGCATGCTTTCGACTAATTTTTCTGCATACGAAATAGGCAGCAACCTCCATATTTTTCTAATTCGGTCCACTAATGCTTTCAAAGTTACAGCGCGGCTACCTTGAAGCTTCTGCTTCATAATAGCCCAAACATTTTCGATTGGGTTTGCATCAGGGGACTGAGAAGGCCAAGGCAGCACCATGATGTTGTTTTTCGCCTTTCATTCGGTACACACCCGGCTCCGATGTTTTGGATCGTTGTCTTCTTGCAGAAGCCATCTAGAAGCCACCTATCACAAGATTGATTAAGCCACCGTTTTGTTGATGGCAATAGTCCTCTCTGGTATAATTTTATCATTCTTTGTGCGTTTAAATTGCCTGTAAAAACACACAATGTCCCGAAACCACGTGCATTGAAACATCCCCAGACATGCACCTTTAGTGGGTGTTTTACAGTTCTTTGGATTACGGGATTGTCACGAACTGATCAGGCATGCTTGATGAGAGACCAAGCCCAAAAGGAACATTCATCGCTAAAAACGATGACACTCCAATTGCGATCAATATTTGATTGAGCCCACGCCAACCGATTTTCAACATGCTTTCTTGAAAGCAGAGATTTCACCACCGTACTACGCCATGCAATATTATTTTCTTTTAATCGACGTCTTAATGTCATTATATCTACATTTATGCTTCTTGCCAAAATAGCTTGGGCTTTACGAAGCGAAAGTTGCGGATTTTTTGAAAAAAGTAGCAAAATCGCCGTATCTTCCCTTACTGTAGTCGCATATTTTGAACCTTGATCTGGAAGATCGTCCACACATTTAGTGTCTTTATACCGTTGTACCCACTTATTAACGAACTCAGGCGATTTATGCAGATATTTAGCTGCACTCCGAACGCTCATTTTTGGTCCTTTCGGATGCGAACAGAGAAAGACCGCTTCAAACCGTTTTGTATACGCTGCACTCATATTACAAACGTCTCTATTTCTCAGCGATACGAACGAAACTAAAAGATTTGTGACAATTGCGTATTAGGGAAGACAATGAATGTTCACATTATAACGGTCGTCATTTTGTTTTGTATAAACATTCGAAGATATTGCGTCCATGCTCTTATGTTACAGACTGTATGTTAACAATTCCGTTGGTATAATGGACAACGCGCCATATCATTCTCAGAAATTAAAGCCCTCACGAAAAATGCAATGAAAAAACAAATGACCGAATGCCTATTAGAAAATAGTATAACACATGCAGAACCTATGCGAAAACTCGAACTATATGCAGGGCGATCCCTTGTAAAGTTAATTATTACGCGTTTGCGCGGACGCGCCGCGATTGCAGTCGAAAACGAATACATAAACGACGTCACAGTACCAAAATATCTGAAAATTCCTCGAAACCAACTGCAGGACCGTCTGAAGTTAAAATTATAGAGAATTATAGGGAAACAAATAAGATATTTGCGGCGTCAAACAGAGACAAGCATAGAAATAGACAGCATATTATGACATTAGATGGGAAATGGCGAGGAGAGGTCGCGGTTCGCCGTATGATCGAGCTCACCGGGAGGCGGTGCCGGGGGGCGTTACAAGGTTAAGCTGGAGGTCAGTGCGTATGCCCGGGAGCCTCCCCTTGGACCTTGACCCTCGGGCCAAGAAACATTGAGTAAAAGCATCCATTCCTCACATATGGAACACACGCGAGGGGAAGGGGGGTGTAGTCCCTCTTTCACAACATGCGAGCGATGGCCTAGCGCAGGGGGACCATATCCAACGACAGGAAAGCCTGCCGGGTTGCCGCCACCCTCCGCCCTTGTGGCGGGGGCGCGAGACAGTTTTAGTGGGTATGCGTGGAAATCGTCCCTCTTCTAGGGGCGCTACCACACTACCTAGGCTATCTTCCCAGGTGTCCGTAATAGGATTTCTGTCTTCCTTAAACAAAACAAAACAAAAAAAAAAATCTTCCCACCGCGGCGAGCTGTCTGCAACGCTCCATCTTGGCATGGCAGCCGCTAGATATGGGACTCACAGAGTACAGCGAAGAGAGCAGAAGTAAGAGTATTAGGAAAGCGAGTAAGAGTCTAGAGTCATAATGCAAAATTGAAGGAAATAGGAGGAAGCTAACACGTCACTCAATAAGTCCCCGGTCTGACACATATATGCCGACACTGGTGACAGACCCACGTTATTTTCGAATAATACTAACCTTCAAACAGTACGTATCAAAATTTCATGGTATTCTGACCAATAGTTTAGAAGTTACAGTCATTTTAGTACCCCCAGTTTCGTAATTTTGAAGACAATGGATAGAAAGGAATTTCGTGTATTGATTAAACACTGATTTTTAATCGAAAAAAATACTGTTGAAGCCAAAAAGTGACTTGATAAGTGTTCCGTAATGTCCGCATATAGGATTTGGGATTGAGGTTTTTGCCCTATTTAACTGTCGGTGTTCCGCATTATATAGTGCACTAGTTATCGGTGCGAGTAGTTGTGCCAATACAAACTGTACGAGATAAGTTCCTTCGAAGAATTGATGTACAAGCAGGCTACACTGATGAAGTCAGTGGTCAACTCCATATCCAACTTCAAAAAATTAGGTCAAGCCAAGATGACCTATGCAGTGACGACCAAGCGTATAGAGACATTGGAGAAGACGTTTGCACAGTGCCCTAAATTCGATGCAAAATTACAAGCCACCGCGGATGCTAAGGAGAAGACCACGCATCCCTACTTCACGGGCCGCTTATTCGACGACTGCGAAGCAGCCTACGAGGCAGTG